AAGAGTCTTGCTCCAAGTGTTGCAGTAATCCAGTGTGAAATCTTGTCTTTGTGGAGGAGCTTCATAATAAAGACCAGTTAGGAATGCACTCCTTATGCAGCGGGACTGGTTTTGTATCCTCTCCTGTACGCTATATGTACAGATGATGTCACTGATACTTTTATGTAGCAATACCCCATAGGAGCCACTGGTATTTTCCCAGGATTTCCCCCAAATCTTTACCCGCAGCCAAGTACACAGCATTTCCTCTAGCCAGGTGCACACAACTTCCGCCCATTACTCCAATGATCAGTCTAGGGGTTGTAGTTTTTGTTGTTTATTTTTGTTTTAGAACTGGGATAGGGAAGGGATATAGTGGGATACTCCAACCTGAACTATTCACAATGGAGGACAGTATTCTCTACATGGATCTGTGGGTTCTCTTAGACCTGTATAGCAGACTGTACAAAGAATGGAACAAGTCCCTCTGTAGCAGTGTAGAAACTAAATGGAGCATTGCTCTTCGGAACGTCAGCTGGTGTCCCTTCTAGCTTATACCCAGCAGTTGACCATGTAGGTCCCAAAGGAGTTAAACAGCACAAGTCCCATCATCCATGTAGAAAAGTTTCACACAGCCCTTGCTGTAAGTCACCTTCCTCCATGATACCAGACAGGATCTGTAGATATCCCCCTCAGTCACCTCTCAGAAGCATCCTGGGATTCTGCATCCCAGTCCTTGGGTTGCCCACCTGAGGCCTCCTGGCAGCTGCCTGCCTGGCTGGAACTCCCTTCTCAGAGGAAGAAGAACCCAGATCTCATGTGCTCACTGAATATAAATACCAGTACCCAGCGTGCTCAGGGGCGCCACTCCCTGTAATTGGCTGGAGTTGCATCCATATTCCTACTACTCCTCTGCATGGTTCATACTATCCACCCAGATCCTTCCTTGCTGGCCTGGATACAGATGAACCTTCAATCAGATGCAGCAATACTGTGAGCCACACAGGATAAGCTAGCTAAACAATTGTAGCTCTTCTGTTACCCTAGGTTCACACCTATGCGTTTTCCACAGCATTTTGCAGAAACGCACTACAGTCCATTTAACATGATTTCCTATGGGACACGTTCACGTTTTCACCCATTGTGTTTTTTTTGAAAGGGTCAGGTTCTTTTTTGAATGCAAAAGGTGCATTTTTGGTTCCATAGACTTCAATGGAAATGCTGCAGAAAAAGCATGTAGTGTGTTTTTTTAATGCATTTTTTGCCTTTTTTTTTAATGAGTTTTAAATCTGCCTAGCAACAAGAAAAAAAAAATCAAAAACGCATCAAAAATGCAATGCAGAAACAGATCAAACACGAACTGCATAGGTATGAACCTAACCTTAAGCAGGGAGAGACACTAAAGACCATACTATGCTATACTTAACTATCTACATCTGGCACCTATTTAGGAGAGTGCTATACTTGTAAGGGTAATACTGTGTTGGCAATGGCTGATTTATAAAGTAGATTTCTATTCCCAAACACTTTTCTAGGCACTGCACTTTCCCCAAGGTCACAAAACATGATGGGAGCATATGGGCTGCACTAGCATTTTATATAACCATTGATTCAGATCCATAGTAAAAGGGAAAAAGGAAGGTGACTAATAAGAGAATGGAAAAATATACAACAAAGCAAAACAGAGAGTGCAGTATAATGAGAAAGATTAAAGTTCAGATATTGAGGCAAATGTGTGATTACAGTAATCATTCCAGACTACGTATGAGAGAATCCGGAAAATGGTGATCAAGTACTTGCTGTAATTTTCCATCCCTTTAGCTCCATGCAAGCAAACATGTGAGCAGACTCCACCATCCTATGCTGCCATGGAGTTAGTGAGAAAAGGAAAATAGAGGAGAAATGATGAATGAAATCTATGGTCACAGCTTACACTTTCATCTTCTATCATCAGCATTGTAATAACAAAAATATAAGGCTCTGTGCACACTGGGCATTTTAATAACGCTGGTAATGTTAGCTATGTAAAGTCACGTTAAAAACGTGAGTTTTTCAGTGTTTTTGCATTAGTGTTTAGCAGAGTTTTGCCACATTTTTTTCACGTTCGTTTTTTTTAGCATTTTTTTTTGCTCAAAAAAAGTCCAGGGTTAGAGCATTTTTACACCTAAGAAAACTCCTCTAGAAACCCACTAGTCCTTGGTTGTTTTTTTTTCCAGCCAAAAAATGCCCCTGCCAAAAAACACTGATTACAGTCTATGTGTGCATGGACACATAGGATAACATGCTGGGGGGTTTACTGGCTGTAGAAAAAAAAATGCCAAAAGCCAAAAACAGCAGCTGTAAAAATGTCCAGTGTGCATGAGGCCTAAATGTGTCCCTCATTTGGGAGGGGGGTAATGAGAAATGGCCCTACCCAAACAGGAAATTACGCTAAACTTGTAGGTAAATAAGAGAACCAGAACTTCGCTGAGTGGAAGAGTGGGTTTAAGTAAAGTTGGCAGTGCCTCCACCCAGGACAGGGCTTCTGTGATCAGAGGGGATGCCCTTGCTGGGAAATGAACCAGAAATCTAATCACAGTAATTGGCAGCAGAGGAACTACTGCAACCAGTACATACCAATAACCATAGGTATTTAAACGCCCCACCCCCAGCTAGTCAGCTTTTACCCCATTCACGTTGATTCGGAAAGAGTTGCTGCTCCGAATCTGATATCCATGTGGGTGCTGGAGCAGCCCTGAATGCATACAGTGAGTTCAGGAACATGCAGCAGCCATCTCCCTGCAGTGGTTGTATCCCTTTTGATATCAACAGCACTGTCTGCATGGGGACACATTGAACACCTGTGCATTTCTGTGTGGGTAAACACAGCCTTGAACAGGTGTATGCTGTAGTATACCCTGTGTGAACATGGCCTTACTATGTTATTTTACAATGTTTTATTTTTCCCAGGGTGGGGACTTTGAAAACATCAGGTGTATAAACAGTCTGAAAACATTGTCCCTATTCCCTTTCTCTGCAGCCTCAACTGTATTGCAGATGAATGAATAGAAGTCTATGTACATGGGCTTCCTATTCATTCACAAACTAAAGCATAGTTAAAGTGGAGCTCCACCCAAAAGGGGAAATTCAGCTTTAAGGACTGGCTCCCGCTTCCCATTAAAGATTGGCAACTTGTGGGGAGCGGGGAGGGTACCCAAAATTGACAGGTACATGCTCCCACTTACGCTGTGATCGCTTAGGCGAGCAGAAGCGGAAGTCGTCCTCCCCTCCCTGCCTGTAGTCTTTGGGGACACGTGACCGGTCCAAGAAGACTACAGGACCATTCACAAAGCGCAGTGCTACTACTCTGAAGCTGTCACAGCCAGGTGCCCACACTGAAGATGCCGGTGCCAGAAACACAGGACGGCCAGTGAAACAGGCTGCGGGAAGGCCACCACGGGATCGAGGGACAGGTGAGTGTCCGTTTTTTTAAAAGTTAGCAGCTACAGCTTTTTTAGCTGCTGACTTTTTTATATTTATTTTTTTTATTTTCACTGGAACTCCGCTTTTAATGCATTATGATGGTAGGAGCACCATGGGGAGGGGAAACATATTTGGGCAGTTTGACTCCCCTGCTGTAGCTGAAGCTGGTGGGAGGGGGAGCAAGGACCTTGGCCAGAAGTGCTGCAGGGAAGGGTGCTGTAGATTGGTGAGGAAGGGACTGGAGGGAGGGTTGAAGTAGAGGGGGGGAATCTTTTTGTGACGCTAAATCCTCCTGCAGCACCCAAAGCTTGCAGGCGGGGAGAGGAGGAGAAGCCAGAATCTACAGGGATCAGTGCTACAGGGGTGGGGGGCACATAAGAGTGGAGGGAATAAACGCAAGAGTGACCTTGAACAAACAGCTTCTCACCTGTCCCTCGATCCAGCAGTGTCCTCATCGTAGCCGGTTTTACTGCCTGATGGTATCTTTAGTGTGGGCACCAGGCTGGGGTAGCTTGCGGCTTCACAGCCGGGTGCCCACTGCGCATGTACGAGTTGCGCTGCGCCTTGTGAATGGTCCCGTAGTCTTCTAAGACCTGTCACGTGCCCCAGAGGACTACGGGGAGGGAGGGCAACTTCCAATTGCCTAGGCCAGGGGTGTCAAACTGGCGGCACTCCAGCTGTTGCGAAACTACAAGTCCTATCATGCCTCTGCCTTTGGGAGTCATGCTTGTAACTGCCAGCCTTGCAATGCCTCATGGGACTGGTAGTTTGGCAACAGCTGGAGGGTTGCCAGTTTGACACCCCTGGCCTAGGCGATCGCAGCAGAAGTGGGAGCGGGTACCTGTCAAAATGCAGTACCCTACCCACCAAAGGTGCCAAGCCTTAACAGGAGCGGGGGATGAGGCCTTAAAGCAGAACTTCGCCTTTCGGGTGGAGCTCTGCTTTATGTTGGCTATGAGAGATTGGTCACTGTGCCACCACCCTCTTCGCTGCCACATGTTACATAGGGGCAAGAGGTTACTATATTGAGCACACTGTAAAGTAAACATTCAGTGAAGACTTTGAATTAACCCTTTAGTGCAAAGCTTTTTAAAGGGCAGTCCATTCATCATTTAGTGGCCAGAGCTCGGTGTAACTCGAATTCTCCAGTGGCGTCCCACTTTGTTTTTGCTCACAGAAAGCTTCTTTTTTTTTCTTTTCCATAATGGACAAGCAGGAAATGGCATGAGAAGAACATGAGCCCCCTGACTAGCACAGCTTGTGTATAGGTCCTGGCTACATCGCTTGGTATATATTTAGTGGTAGTCCAGACTGTACTGGGTGACGTCACGTGTTTACTGCTCCCCATAACGACTGCTGTGTCGCAGGACGAGGACCGGGGTCAGCGAGTACAGCCGAATAACAACACAAGTTTCGTAACTCGTGCTCTGATAGGTCAGCGTGGAGCTGTGTATTTCTGCTTTGCCAATCGGACGTGCAGCCACGCCCATCCGCAGTCTGTACACTTGTGCTTGTTACAGATCCGGCCCGTGTTCACTGAAAGACGGAAGAAGTGATAGATGGAGGGCCGATACCCAGACCTGAGGATCCGATTCCGACCGGGCCATGTGCAAGTGGTGCAGGTGAGGGACGGGGCTGGGCAGGGGGAGCGGGCATGGCATTGCACCTAGGCCGCACTGATCGCTGGGTATGTGGAGGAGACCAGGAGTGAATGCTGACACTGTGCACGGTGGAGGAGGAATAGAGCCCTACAGCTGACCTGGACTTCCTCCTCATACCTGTGCGATGTAGTGTGTGTGTGATTCAGAGTGCTTCCTCTCTGTAATTGTGTGGTGCAGAGTGTGTTTGTCTGGTGTGTTTTGCTGAGTTATGTGTGAAGAATAATTGTGATTGTGTGGTGCAGAGTGCTGGGGGCCTGTGACTTTATGGTGCTGTGTGTGTGGTGCAGGGGGGGGTTTTGTGTGTGATTGTGTGGCACAGAATGCTGCCCGTCTTGATTGTGTGGCACAGAATAATGTGTGTGTGATTGTGTGGTGTTGCATAGTGTGTGTGTGTGGGTGCAGAATTCTGCCTGCGATTTGTGTGGGCAGAATAGTGTGTGTGTGATTGTGTGACAGAGAATTCAGTGTGTGTGATTGAGTGGGTGTTTGTGTTGCAGAATAATGTATGTGATTGTGTGGTGCAGAATGCTGCCTGCCTGTGACTGTGTGGCACAGAATGTGTGTGGTGCAGAATAATGTATGTGATTGTGGTGTGGGGGCAGGGTGTTTTGTGTGTGTGTGATTCTGTGGTACAGAGCGCTTCCTGTTCTGATTGTGGGTACTGAATAATGGGTGGTGGTGTGTGTGTGATTGTGTGGTGCAGAATAATGTATGTTTTGGTGTAGATTGGGGGGCCTGGGGGTGGTGTGTGTGTGTGGGGGGCAAAGTGCTGTTTGTGTGATTGTGTGGTGGTGCATAATGTGTGCGTGGTGCAGAATGCTGCATGGGTGTGTAATTGTGTGGTGGGGAATAGTGTGGGGGGTGTGTGGTGGGGGCAGAATGCTGGCATGGGGGTGTGTGTTGGGGGGTGTGTGTGTGTTGTATGTATATGGGGTGTGTGTGTGTGTGTGTGTGTGTGGTGTGTGTGTGGGGGGTATATTGGGGGGGGGGTATATATATATATGGGGTATATATATATATATAATAAAATATGATTCTGTGGGCAGAGGGTTTTCCTGTCTGTGGCACAGGGGTGTGTGATTTTGTGTGGTGCAAAATAGCGTGTGTGTGGGTGCACAATGATGCCTGCCTGTGAGTGTGTGGGGTGTGGTGGCAGAATAATGTATGTGATTGGTGCAGAATGCTGCTTGCCTGTGACTGGGGGGGGGGGGGTGCTTTGGGGGGGTTTGCAGAGTGCTGTCTGCCTATGGGGGGGGGGGGGGTGGGGGGATTTTGGTGGTGTGTGGGTGTGTTGCAGAGTGCTGTATGTTGTGATTGTGTGGTGAAGGGTGGTGTGTTGGGGGGTAATGTGATTGTGTAGTGCAGAATTCTGGCCTGTAACTGGTGTGGGGGGGGGTGTGGGGGGTGTGATTGGGTGGCGCAGAATAATATGTGGGTGGGGGGGGGGTGTGTCAGAATAATGGGGGGTGGGGGGGTATTTTAGTCAGGGGGGGGTTGGGGGGTGCAAGTGGGGGGGGTGATGGGAGAGAGGCCTGGGGGGGGGTGGGGGGGGGGGGGGGGTTGGGACAAAATTGGGGAAAAAAATCCAGACAATCACATTGCTTTTGGATTTGGGGGGGGGGGGGGGGGTTTTTTGGGGGGGGGTATTTGGTCAATATCAAAAGTTCAGTCTCAATACTTGGGTTATTCTGGGGGGTTGGTATTTGGGGGGGAGGGGGTGGGTTTCCTGTAAGTCTTCACAAGGGGGGGGGGGGGTTGCTGGGGGGTTTGGCCCATTTCCTCCATGGGGGGGGGGGTAGGGCAGTGATGTTTTGGGGCTGTGGGGGGGGGGGGGGGGGGGGGACACTTGGGGGTCCCTCCAAAGGTTTTTATTGGGGGGTGGGATGGGGGAGACTGGGGGGGGGGGGGCCACTCCAGGACCTTGAAATGCTTCTTACGGTGGGTCCTTGGGTTGGGGGGGGTGGGGGGGGGTTTGGGGGGTGGGGGTGGGGTCATGGGGGGGAAGGGTGGGCCACATTTCATCTGGGGGGGGGCCCTTGCTGATGGAAAGAGGTTTGCACTCAAAATCTCACGATACATGGCCCCATTCATTTGGTGTCCTGTACATGGATGGTCGTGTCCTGGTCCCTTTGGGGGAAACGGCAAGAGGGGGGGGGTTGCCACCCCCATGGGGTGGGGGGGGGGGGGGGGGGGGGGGTATGGTGGGGGGGATGCAACTCAGCATTCTCTCTCCTTGGGGGGGGGACGAGTTGGGGGGGGGGGGGGGGTTTATTTTGGGTTTCATCTGACCATTGACATTCTCCCAATCCTCTTCTGGATCATCCAAATGCTCTCTAGGTCAGACGGGGGGGGGGTACTGGGGGGGGGGGGGGGGGGGGGGGTCTGGCACTGCAGGATCTGAGTCCCTGGGGGGTGTGTGGTTGGGGGGTAGCCTTTGGGGGGGGGGGGGGGGGCTGGGGGGGGGGTCATTGGGGGGGTCCCCCGTGTGGTCCTGGGATTTTTGCTCACCGGGGGGGGTGGGGACCCCATGGGGTGAGGGGGGGATGGGGGGGAGGGGGGGGGTGGGTCTTGTATGTCTTCCATTTGGGGGGGGGCTCCCACAGGGGATTTGGGGGGGGGGGCTGGGCCTATTGGGCTGGGGGGGGGGGGGGGGGGGGGGGTTTTGGGGTCTACAATTTTGTTGGGGGGGGTGGGGGGGGGGGGGCTCTTTGGTCTTCACCATAGTGGGTTTGGGGTGAGGGTGGGTTTGGGTTGGGGGGGTGGTCTTTTATACTGGGGGGGGGGGGGGGGCCATTGATGGGGGGGTAATGGGGTGGTGGGGGGAGGGGCCTCTTAAAGAAGAAGGTTGGGGTCTGTGGGAGGGGGGAAATCTTGGGTTTTTGGGTTTTGTGACCAATGGTTTTTATTTTCCACCATAATTTGCAAATAAATTCTTTTTCCAATTGGGGTTCAGCCAATGTGGGGGGTTGGTTTTTGGGGGGGGGGGGGGATTTTGTTTTTTGGGTTGGGGGTCTACCTATGGGGCCAATTACAGGCCTCTCTTGTTCTTTTTAAGTGGGAGAACTTGCACAATGGGGGGGGTTGTTTGGGGGGGTGGTGGGGGGGGGGGGGGGTGATTGTGTGGTGGGGGGGGGGGGGGGGGGGGGGGGGGCACAGGGGGGGGGGGGTGTGGGTGTGTGGTGGGGAATGCTGGGGGGGGGGTGGGGGGGGGGGGGGTGGGGGGTGTGGTGTGGTGGGGAATGCTGTGGGCTGTGTATTGTGGGTGGGGGGGGGTGTTTGTGTTGGTTGGGGGGGGGCTGGGTGTGTGTTTGTGTGGGGGGGGGGGGGTGTGTGTGTGGGGGGGGGGGGTTTGGGGGGGGGGGGTTTTTTGGGGGGGGGGGGGGGGGGGTGGGTGGGGTGGGTGGGTGGGGGGGGGGGTTGGGGTGTGATTGTGGGGGCAAAATTGGGGTGTGGGTGGGGGGTGGGGTGTGGGGATTGTGGGGGGGGGTTGTGGGTGGGGGTGCTGGGGGGTTTTGTGATTGTGGGTGGGGGTGGGGGGGTGTGGTTGGGGTGGGGTGGTGGTGGGGGGTTGGGGGGGGGGGGGGGGTGTGTGGTGGGGGGTTTTGGGGGGGGGGATTGGGGGGGGGGGGGGGTGGGTGGGTTGGTTGGGGGGGGGGCTGTATGGGGTTTGGGTTGGGGGGTGGCATGTGTGTGGGGGGTGGGGGGGGGGGGGGTGTGGTGGGGGGGGGGGGGGCCTGTATTGTGTGTGGGGAGTGGGTGTGTGTGTGGGGGGGGGGGGGGTGTGGGGGGGTTTGGGGGGGTGTGTTGTGTGTGGTGGGGGGTTTGGGGGGTGGGTTTGTGTGGGGAGGGGGGTGGGGGTTTGGTGGGGGGGGGGGGTGGGGGGGGGTGTGTGTGGGGGGGGGGGGGGGGGGTTTTTTGGTTTTTGGGGGTTTTGGGGGTGTGGTGGGGGGGTTGTGGGTGGTTGCAGGGTGGGGGGGGTGTGTGGGGGGTTTGGGGGGTATGGGTGTTTTGTGGTGGGGGGGTGTGTGTGGGGGGGGGGGGGGGGTTGTGGGTGTGGGTGCTGTGTTGGGGGGGGTTTTGTGTGTGTGGGGGGGGTGGGGGGTGCTGGGGTGTGGGGGGGAATGGGGTGGGGGGGGGGTGCTGTGTGTGTGGTGGGGGTTGTTTGTGTCATTGTGTGGTTTTGCCGTAATTTGTGTGGTGGGGGTATGCTGGGGGTGGGGGGTGTGTTGCCAAATAGTGTATGTGATTGTGTGGTGCAGAATGTTGGTTGTTTGGTTTGGGTGCAGGGGTTGTTTGGGTGGGTGATGGGGGGTGTGGTGGGGTTGTGTGTGTGTGTGGGGTTGTTGTTTCCTGCATGTGGGGGGGGTGTGGGTTGTGTGTGTGTGTGTTGGGGCTGTGTTGGGGGGTGATTGGGTGTGGTGGGGTTTGGGGGGGGGGGGTGTAATGGTGTGGGGGGGGGGTGGAGTGTGTATGTGAGATTGTGTGGGGGGGGAGCTGTGTGTGTTGGGGGGGTGGGGGGTGTGTGTGTGGGGGAATGCTGTGCCTGGGGGACTGGGGGGGGTGGGGGTGTTTTTTGGGGGGGGTGGGGGTGTGTGTGTGGTTTTCTTGGGGGGGCAGTGTTTTCTTGGTGGTGGGTTATGTGGCACAGCAAAATGGTGTGATGCAGAGTGCTTTGTATGTGTGTGGGGGGGGGGGGGGGTTGTGTGTGTGTGGTGGAATTCTGTTTTCTTGTGTTTGGGGTGTGGTGCAGAATAGGGGGTGTGGTTTTGGAATGTTGTGGGGTTGGTTGGGGGGTGTGTGTTGTGGGGGAGTTGTGTGTGGTGTTTGGGGGTGTGGGGGAATGTGGGGCCTGGGGTGGGGTGTGTGGGGGTGGGTGTGTGTGATACTGTTTTGCAGAGTGCTTTGGGGGTCTGTGGGTGGGGTGTGTGGGGGGGTTTGGTGTTGGGTTGTGTGTGTGTGAT